CCCTTCCCCCTTTAGCAATGTTACTACACAAGCCGAAGACAATACGGTCAACATTTGCTTTCAAGTATAGCGACTGAAACCACGGTGGTGAAACTTATTCAATGCCGGCATACAAAGCCGCATCTATTAATCATTAGCTTGCTGAATGGCTACCTGCCAATATGTAGATTATCGTGTGCGTCTCCTCTATTGTCCTGCCTGGTATTCCATCCATAATCAGCAGGTCTCAGAGTAACCCGACACCCTATCGACTGTGTTCGTAAATGTAACGTAAACTGGGCCATCTTTCTATTGTCACCAAAATTAACAGCCTCCAAGGCCCCTGGTTTAAACCGTCTTGGTACTCGTCTTGCGGGTCATAACCTTGGTGATGGCATGTCGAATGGTGACACCAGCCTTCTCGACATCCTTCTTTGACAGCGCTGACGTAACACAAATTCGCAGAGCAGGCTGGGCGAACCAGGCGCCATCCTTGGGCTTGACAGTGTGGGAATACGGCCTGGTCTTGGTCCTCGTGATCAAAACGCCATTGGCAAGTGTCTTTCTGCAAGTTAGTCTGTTGTTCTTATTTTAGTCATGTCACTAATAGAACGTACCTCTTCAACACAGTCACACAGAATTCGCTCCTGGTCTTCCAATTCCAGCTTTCGTGCAGCGACAACTTCAGGCTTGAGGACAAGAAGCATGATAGGGTTCTCAGGGTCGCTAGGACAGTAGACCCAGTCACTACGGGGATCGAGCTGCGCCTTCATAGCCTTGATATTCTCGCGTGACTGGGACAGGATGTCGGGGTTGGACTGAAGCAGGTTGAGCGTCTCGCTGGCAATGACGGCCAACATGGCGGGGAGAGCGGCGGAGAAGGTGTAGGCGGAAGAGGTAATACGCTGATGCTCAACGACGTCTTTGGGACCAGCACAGAAACCACCACCAGCACAGAGGGGTCCAGCGAGAGAGCCAATGATCATGTCAACTTGCTGAGGATCCACGTTCTGCGCCTCGGTGATGCCACGACCGGTGCGGCCAAGAACGCCAAAGGACCAGGTTTCGTCCAGAATAACACGGAACTTATACTTCTCCTTGAGCTCCACCAGGCGCGGCAGATCGATGGAATCACCCGAAAGCTCAAACAGACCCTCAGTCACGACGAAACGACGAGTAAGCTTCTTGGCGTTGGCCTGCTCCTTGGCAACAGCTTTCATAACGTCCTGTAGATCGTCCATATCATTGTGTTCAAACCAGCGGATTGTGCTTCGCGATTGCTCAAGACCTTTACGGATGGAGAAGTTGACGTTTCGATCAGCGATGATGACATCGCCACGCTTGCAGAAAGAGGGAATAACACTGGAGATGGTGCTGAAAGCCTGAGCGTAGACGATACAACCCTCAGTACCCAGGTACGCGGCGATATCAGCTTCGGTCTTCATATGAACGTCCTGAGTGCCGTAGAACTGGGGAGGGCCGCAAGGGCCAACACCGTAGGTGCGTAGGACCTGAATCGCCTTTTCCTTGATTTGGTCATTGCCATTGAAATTATAGAAGTTGTACGATGCGAGGTTGGTCACAGTTCGGCCGTTAGCGAGTTTCGATTTGGGACCGGTCGGACTATTAGAAGACATTAGATGTTGATTCTGACATAAAGGCAATTATGCTCACCCAACGAGGACGGGGAGGCGTTCAGCTTCGGTAGCTTCGAAAGCGGTCTGCTCCTCGACAAGAGGCTCGGGTTGCCAATCATCAATCAGCTCTTCAATTTCCTACCACGCATCCAAAGTTAGCATCCTGTTTCTGCAAACCCTTGTTAATCTTGTAGTGATCTTACGTCCTCCCTCAGCTTGACATAGTTCTGCTTATGCGTCGAGTAAGACGGTGACAGGAGGTAGCGGACGAAGAAGAGTAGCAGCACGGCCTCAATGGCGGATCGCACGGGGTCATTCTGATAACTCGACTTGATATAGCGAAGGAACACGGCGGAGCCAGGCACTTTGTGGAAGTAGACTGAGGCTTGCTCAATGATGTCGCCCAGTCTGGCTTGAAGTGTATCGAGTTCCATCGTCCTTAATGTTTTCGTCGTTATCGTCAACCGCTTCGAATTTCCTTTCCTGTCTCGTCTCGTATCGTGCTTCTTAATTATGGAAGGGTCAGTCTTAGATCTTTGACCTTGTAAGTGGATGTCAGAAGGCAGTTTGAGTAAACATTAACGGACTTCTTTTTTGAAAGTGATGGCCTGTCAATTAATTACGTTGTCACCATGGGTCAACAAAGGGGCCGCCAGGATCCTCCTAAAATGTACTGAGTCAAGCTGCCGAGAGCCCGTGATTGGCTGCATGATTGGTCGCTAACATTCATAATTTACAGGGGCTCGACGGGTACCTGAGCTCCAGTAAGACGGGCCATCCACTCCAGTGATCGGATAGACCGGAGATGTCGGGTGAAATACGCAAACACAAGTACAAGTTACTGGTAAGCTACCATGGAAATAAATCATGGAATACAGTAAACCAAATCAGTCATTATGTGTAAGGCAATATCAATCGGTTCACAGATCTGATATATGCAACAAAATGAGAGTTTGACTTAAGTCAAAAATTGAAAAGAATGAAAAAAAGGCATTGTTTGCATATAAGTCTAAAGTTTCTGCCATGTGTTGCTTCCTTTCATTGTACACATTAGAATATTTTTTAAGAAGAAAAGGTGCGCCTTAGTGCCAATAAAACAGACCAGCCCAGTTCAGCCAGTGAATGACAGGTCTAACTTGTGTTGCCAACCTCTTCTCTCCTCCTCTCGTCCCCTTCCGCTTCTATAAAACTCGAAGTGTTTACACACGCATCCACCTGTGCTAGGTACCGAACTGAAAAGCAAAAACGAAAACGAAAAAACAAAAACTTGACATTTTAATAACTTGTTCTGTGCATAAAGACAGAGCGCCAGTACACTGTTGGAGGTGTTTCCAAAAAGAGAGGCCCTGTTCTCGCCATTTTCGCTTAGAATAGCTTGATCTTGCCGGTCGCCGATGCTGCGACGCGCTTGCTACCAGTCATTGTGAGGCCAGGGCCAGTATATTTGGGATCTTTGATACCAGTGACCGAGGTACTGTTTGTGTTGTTATGATCAAGATAGTTTGGCTGCACAAGTCCCTCCAGAGGAATCATCTTCTCAATAGTCTTGCTGAGTGATTCACCCATGAGTTTACCAACTACGGCAGGTCCAGCAACGAGAGCAATGAACACGACCAGGAGGGTAAAATAGAGGATGGCATAACGGATCACACGTCTTCGTCTAAGCTTAGACTGTTTCATCGAGTAGATAGGAGGTCGAATTTGTCGACTGAAAACTGTTAGTATCATTGATGGGGACGGAATGGGGCATACATACCTGGGACGGAGCCAGAACAACATCATGGAGTGAAGCATGTCAACCTTGGGGATCAAGATGACGGGCGCCATAAAAAAGAGCAGCCAGTGGCCCAAAACGAAATCGGCAGAGAACATGGACAGCTCAGTAATCTTGCAAAGGAACTCACGAGCAGGCTGAGAGATTGTGTGCCATCCCATCGAGTACCACTTTCCGCTCCAGAAGGCAATGTTAGAAGCATCGCCCTTGAATTCGCGAGTGAGACATGTCGAAACAATCAACTTGACAAAGAAACGCTGGATCGAAATCACAGCAATCATACCGGCCACAGTGCGTGTAAAGTTGAAGCTCTCCAGAACGAACATGCCCACGAAGGAAATCAGAAGGAAGATTACTGCAGTGGCATGAGCAATAGCGGCGAGAACACTACCAAACTTCTTGCAACACATGCCGAGGAGAGGTCCCATACAACAGGCCATGCCGAACATAGCAGCTAAGACGCCGGCATTGACGGCAACAGGCGCAAAAGCTATAACAAGCAGCCGCATTAGCGATTGAGTGGGCTGGATCTTATTCCTGTTCGATGGATTGTTCGCTGGCGTAACACCGGTTTGAGCATTGACAAAAAGGTACGGTAATATTGTCACGACAGCGAGCATCAACGGCGAGAAAATCTCACTAAAGAAGATGTTGGCGAAAGGGGCTCGAGGAACATCAGCTGATGCTTTGGCAGATGGATCTCCAAGTGTCTTGCGTTTGTAACCAGTAAGACGAGTTCGAGAAAGACGACAGTACGAGATCCAAGATGAAGCGTGGCTGCGGGAATTACCACGCGACAACCAACGAAGGTAATCTCGGTAATCGATGAAAAAGTCTGTCCAGGCAAATTGATGGGGGTTGTAAAGGAAGGGCGAAATAGTCAGCGCAAGAAGGGTGATCCAAAAGTAGATCAGGACGCCCTTCCAGACTGTCAGGGTTGCAAACAAAAGCATCATGAGCAAACGAGCGCCGAAGTAAATAGCTGGTCCAGCGAATCGTGAGTACAAGACACCAAAAGGAATTCGTGCTGTGGCGAAACCACGACCTGTACCAATATATCGCGCACCACCGAATGAAATATTCTGCTGTACAGAGTTCGCATAGATCTGACAGACGAAAACTTCGAACATGAGCGACAAAGAGCAGAATTGCTTCATCAATCGAACGAAAGCACGCCAAATGCCACGTTCCGAAAGTTCCTGGACGATAAGGGGAATGAAAGAGAGGAACAGAACGAAAAGAATAGACACGATACATCGGTAAATCCAGTCCGTAAGTGCATCAGTGTTGGCGCAGCCGGTAGGATAAAGAGGATCGGTGATGGGAACGTTTCGGTTGTACTCGCAGGGGATTGTCTCATAACGGAGAGCTCCAAGGTTGACCATAGTAATCATGAACATCTGTACTGAAAACATAATGAACATGTTGTTCAAGTGGAAACCAGGATGGGCGTAGTAGAACGACAAGAACCGATCCAGAGGCAGTTGAGTACCCAGGTAGTAGTACTCGCGCGACAAGAATTGTTCACCCATACCAGTACCAATCTTGGTTGTGAAGTTGAGAACAGAGCCAAATCCCAAATCACGACCTTTACCACATTGGAAGTATTCACATTGCTTGATACGCCCTCCACGGAGGAGAGCAGTCATACCAGCGTAAATATCTTCGTTCAAGTGAAGACCCTTCTGGGCCTTGGAAACACCACCACGAGTTGTCATGAAGATACCGTTCAGGAAATCGGGATGTCCGTAATGAAGCTTGCCACCAATCTGTGCCATAGTTCGAGCGAAGAGTGTACCAAAGGTTTGTTCCTTTCCAGCGGCGATATCACCCAGAATACCAATATTCTCGGAGAAAATATACTCACGGGCACCCAAAATAGCCACAGGTGCAGAGACATCATTCTTGACACCAGGAGTATAAGGAGAAACATTGTCGGTCTTCATCTCCTCGAACTCAGCGAGAACACTGCGGATTTTGAGACACTCTTCCAGATAGTTGTCTTGGTTGGCATCGATGAGCTGGATGTATTCGCCACGGTAGAAGATAATAGAGTGGTTCTGGTTGTCAGACTTGCCGTCACCGAGAATGGGGTTGCCAGAAAGCTGGACGCGGAACTTAGGACGTCGCATGCCGTTCTCCATGATTTCAGAGTGACCATCAATAAGAACCGAATACAAGCGAGGCTCTTCGCCTTCGGCAACTGGAGGCTCTTCATCAAGATAAGCAATCTGGAGGTCAGGATAAGCGCGAAGCAAGAATTCGGCGTTTTCCATCTCCTCCTTCTTGAACTTCGAGAATCTCTGCATAGAAACGACAATCTTGAATTTGCGACGGGCCATACGCTCAAGCTCGCGCTCAAGCTTGTCAGTGTTGCCACCGAACATCTGCACAACCTCGGGGTTTTCGACGCGGTACAAAAGTTTGATAGCACGACTGTAGTTCATGAAGCCAGAGATAGTACGGTACAGAGTCTGAAAACGAAGAGAGGCCCAGATACGGGTACGCAGGGTATACTCAGGCGCAGAAGATTTAAATCCAATGCAGTAAAAGGGCAAATCATCGATCTTGGTCTTGGCGGTGTTCTTCTCATCCTTGTCGGTTTCTCCATTCATCTGAGAGGTCTCATCAGCCAGAATCTTGGTGTCTTTGACAAAGCAGTCCCATTCATGAGGGTGAAGTTGCTTCAAGTATTCCAAAAGCGTAACACGAGAGTAAGGTTCATCTTCCCGAATAATTTCACGAAGCGAGAGAAGAATCTTCTCGCTGTAGTGTGGAATCATGACAGTGAATGTGGGCATGTTGTCGACAGGCAAAGGCTCCGGGATAGGTGTAGACAGAGATTGGGCAAAGAATGAGATTCGACGCTCGGCTTCACTGTAAGCAGGGAAATATTCGGTCTTGAAGGAATGATCTTCCTGGGAAATGAAGAAGGTCGGGGCTCGCAGAGTTCGCTTACCCTCCTGCTCGGAAGGAACTTGGTGGTACAACAGCTTCTGAACATGCTCGATAGCCAAGAGATGCTCACGATACATGGAGATGACGATGGCGTTCCAAACTTGAGAAATGAGAACCTTTGGTTTGTACTTAATCTCCATGTCCGTCGTGGCAAGGATCTTGGAGTAGACACGCTTGGGAAGACGGGAGAATACGTTTCTCCAAGGCGTCAAGATGGAAGATCCAATGTAGAAGGACCGGGCAACCGAGAAAACAGTGTTCAGAAGAACATACCATAGATACGTATCCAAAAAGAAAAAGATGACATCTGTGAATGCCATCAAGGCCAGAACAATTGTTGGGTGCCATCTGCAAAGCTGATTCCCGAGGAGAAGGCTGTCTCCTTGACATGAGTCGACGTTCATGATATTCAAGTATCGAATGGGATCACGGAAGGACAGAATCAAGTAGATGTAAGAGACACCCATCTTGACGCCAAAGACAACGGCCCAGAGTCCATACGACATTGCCATATCGTTGCCGCGGAGCGTGGGCCAACTGGCAGTGAAGGTTTGACTGGCAACATACTTCCTGTTGTTCGTAGACAGGTAACTGCCAAAAAGGCCGCCCAGTGGCATGATGGAAAAGAAGAGGAAGGTAATCAAAGCAATGACAAAGTGAACAATACCAATGGCTGTGTCAATCTTCTTCCCACCAATGCCTTCAAGAAAGAAAACCTTGATACCAGGAGCAATGTTTAGTACCAAGATAAAGATCAGGAAAAAGAGCTTCTTGGTAAGATGCTGAGCACCAGCCCATCGTCGGGGTACATATGCCCACTCCGCGAGAGTAGCAAGAACCTGAATGAGAGAAGCAATAGCGCCACCAAAGCCAACGATAGAGAACTGCTTGGCTGTTGACGGAGACTGGTTAAGCTGCTGTTCGTATTTGGGACCGACAAGGATACTTGGGGCATTGTGGGACGTATAGAACCAGAACATGGTCAAATGAATGATCCAGATACGGTTGAAGTTAACCAGGAGATGGAACCATGAACGCGATTCGCGGTAAGTCTTGAAGAAACACTTCTTCCAGTTCACATCCTTAAGCTTGACGTATCGCTCGGCAGGTGGTACATCCACAAGTTTACTCTTATCGTGGAGGACGAGGCGATCGATACCCTCAGGATACCAGAAAAGCTGGTTACAATCATCATAACCAATGATGTTCTTGTGGTCACGCTCGCGGCGAACGTACACACCATCAGAGATCTCGTAACCTTGGTCTCTCAAATATTGGTAAAGAGGAGTAATAACGTTGTTGAGGAATGTGAACTCCTCCACCGGCTCAACGAGAGCCTGACATGCAGGAGAGTTAAGGTAATCGTCCGCACACTTGAAGATGAAACACAAGCACTCGGGCATAAAGCGAACCTGATTGGCTTCACCCCAGCAGAGCAGATACAAGGCGATTTGACGGATACGGTCATGCTGCGACATCTTGTTCATGCGGGTCTTCCAGCGATACTCGGCAGCCTCCAAGCTGTCATCTCCTTCGAGATCCTGTAGGGTTTCGGCTTCGCTGGCCTCGGGGTCCTTCTTCTTCTTCTTGTTGCCCTTCTTCTTCCTGCCTTTACCAAGACCGTTGGCAAATCCGACGGCATCGTCAAGGTCCAGGTGGGCGGCGAAGTACCACTTGCGGAAGTTGGCGTTATCACCGCCAATGTAATCAGCGTGAAGGGAGAGCAGAGCCTGATTTGGTGTCATTCGAGAGGCTCGAGAGTCGAGGAGGATCATCAGATGGTCGTAGACGTTCCGCATGCTATCTCGTTGGAAGCCGAATTTGGAACACAGATCAAGAAAGATGTCCTCGATCTCCTCCTTCGACAACGGAATCTGTGCATCCGAGGTCCAGGCAGGATAAGGCTCCCGGGAGCGTTGGCCAGGAGGTAGAGCATTGCCGTAATCCATGCCAAAGTTGGGGGTTGATGCGCCGGAAGAGCGGTTTCCCCCGTAGGAAATTTGTGAGGAGGGAGGTCTATAACCACGTTGCCCATCGTTATAGCTGTTGTAACGTTCATCCCCGCGGCCGTAGTAATCCATCTCGGCAGCGCGAGCCATATCCGATCTCATAGTGAAGTCGCTAAAGGTTTCAGAATCCTCTTCGGAGCCTTGACGGGCACCCTGTCCCTGGTACCCACGATCATAGTCTTGGTCGTAGTAGCCGCCCTGCCCATTATCATAGTAACCATCTTGATACTGGTCGTGGCCGTCGTAGTAGCCTCCGTCATTTTGATAAGGGTTGTTGGCATCGGCGTTGTAATAACCGCTGCGAGAAGTTAGCCAGGTCTACACAGGTGATCAGGCTGCAATACTCACGATTCATCATAATACCCATCGTTGTTGTTGTTGTTGTTATTCGAGTTAGGGTTATGACCGCGGTTATCATGGCCTTGGTCGTAGTATTGATCGTCTTGATAGTAGGAGTCCGTGTTTCCGCCTTGCTGTTGGTTACCTCCCTGAGGAGGGCCGTAGCCATCATCGTAGTGGTCGCGCTGACCACCACCTGGATATCCCGACATGTTGAGTTGATTAGATTATCTGTAAGGATGGATGATTAGTCGCGGTCTCTCATAGCTAGTAACTGAGTCGTGTTTGATCCGTAGCTGCGGTACAACTGACTGTGATTAGACGCTGTGAACTCACCTAGAGATATACATGTGGGTGATCAACGAGCGTGATTGATTCAAGATCAGGCGGAAGAACAAGCGTGACCGGCACTGCAAGATGTGATCGTCAAAAAGCGTCGAATGGCTGAGGGAGAAATGACTTTGGTCGGAACGGCCAAAGAAAAGGATGTAATTCAGCGTCGATTCCGGTTCAAAAAAGACAAATCAGTCACAACAAAATGATTCACCGGCTTGGATTGTCTCGATCGTAGAGAAAAGGGCGAGACAAAGCGATTTGGCGAAGCCGTAAAACGAGTGTCGGCAATGCGTAATGCAAAGAATAGCAAAGGGGAAAGATGAGGGTTGGTTTTTGGTGGTTTGAGTTCCAACCCGCACGGGCAGGGAGAGAAACGCTACTTGTCTCGGCGCCGGGTTATCCAGGGCGAAGGTCAGGGGTGTGAGAGCTACAGTTTTAGGTGTGGCTGTAAGATACCAAGGGGGTGTCCACTTGGGGTGGGATCAATCGAGAGACATTTCCAATGGATGTTCTGTATTGAAAGCTCCCTCGTGCTTGTGTGTAAAAGAAACAGGCAACAGAAGCGATGGAAAAGTTAATGTGGGAATGTTGAAGAAGAAGAAAAAGAAGAAGAAAAAAATAGTCAAAAAGATGGCTTGTTTATGTTTTGATTGAGCCACGCAAACATGAAGTATGTAGACCAGACGTGGGAGTGGAAAATGAAAGGGAGGGAGCGATGCATGAATTCAAACCCAAAAACAAGTACACACAACCAGAGAAGGGAGACTTTAGCACATTAGCACCTTAGTACAGCAGGCGGGTCGCAAAGATAACAGGGACTAGAAAAGGACCTGACGAAATTATTGGAGCTCTCTAAGGTTATTTGCTCACCAAGGCTGATCTGACATTTCTATTGACCACTCAGTACTGGTTTTTATGCGACGCACGAGGTCATTAGCCTCCAGCCGTTGCTGGAGCTTCTGGATTCACAAGCCGTGATAGCCGCTAAGCCCGAAACTCGCAGCGGCCAGACCGCTGAAACTCAATTCGGTTTATCAACGAAACGATACAACCGTCCATCTGTCTCGCACCAACAATAAGCATTTCTCATCATGATGTGTTGTTCCAACCAGTGGGTTGTCCGGGCCGTTTCCAGGTCCGCCTCCTTTCGTTCCTTGTTTTGCTCCTGCTGGCCCCATCCATCCCATCCCATCTCTGGCTCCCAGAAACCCACGCCCGCGACTCCCAGCGCGGGCCAGGGGCGTCGACAAGGAGCGGCAGGGGATACAGCTTCTAATTGGGTGTCGTAGGCGGGTGGTTGGGTCCTTGTCTCCGAAAGTGGCTGGCCAGATTAAGTTCTCCTGCAGTAAGACGAGTACCACGGATTGCTCGGATAGAAATACTGCTGTCATTCAACAGCCCCCGTCAGTACTCGCTAGGTACTCAAAAGTCAGTTCCTCAGCTGGTATTGTCATGCTAACATTATGCACCCAGGCTAGGGGGGCAGTCTCCACGCGGCGCCTTAGACACAGATTTATGAGGCGGAGCCTTGGACAAGCTTGTAGTCTCCAAGTACCGTTCTCACAGTCAGCCACGCGTCCACCGCTATTGGCACGGAGTGATTCTTCTCACGGGCCGGATACTGGTGCGAATCGGGCTGCTCGACGAAGCCTCCACTGGGGGGCGGCGACGCCCCTGAACGGCGCATCCGATTTCACAACAGACAATCTCTTCTACAGCCCAGAACTACGATGGATGATGCGAATGGGACAAACATAGGCACCTCAGTTATCCAGGTGTAGCATGGTGTAAGTTTCGTTGCGTTACAGTGGCATTAGATAGAGGTTGCAGTGGTCATTGTGAAAGCAAGATCAATTGTGGCTGAGCTATGTCCAGTACTGTCACTGATTTAAATACGATATCCAAGGTTAAAAAAAAACGCGTTGAGCAATGTATTTCCCATGTGTCTCTGAAAGCTTCCATGGCTCTCAGGTTTGAGGTTGGTTACAGGCTCGATATCAGCCTGTCTACACGTGTCTGTGGCCCTGCAAGCTGCCGGCTCCCGCCCACGGCTGCGGCCATAGCCGTAGGCAGCTGTTGGCGAGGACTTCGAGAAGCTTCAGCTGGTTCGTCAGATCGTGAAGCGTGGAGTAATAATTAAGCTGTTGCGTAACCTTGTCCTCGAAATGCGCATGCATGCTCCCCTAGTGACTTTGATGTGGCATGGACGGTCGGTCAAGAAACCTAGTCCTGCCCTTATCTTTTACGTTGTATATCACAACTTGGCAACTAATATCCTATACCTATGGTATTGGTAGACTTGTGGAGTCTATCTTTTCCTGGTTACTGTCACCAACATGTTAATCTTGACTGTAATTGTTTCAGCCCTGATATCTCAATGTAATCTCGATTGTGAATCGGTGACTGCAGAGTCAGGAGAGGGTGCCATCTACCAAGCAAGCTAGACGAAATATAGTGGGAGAGCAGTACCCAATTATGCAGGAACAGATCATGCATCTTACATTCTCGTATTGGGAGACTGAATCCTTCATGAGATAAACATCAACAGGAGCTTCCGTAAAAAGGAGCCGACAGCAACAAGACCAATTAGTGCAGCACATGCTGTGCAAATACTTACACATACGAAGAGAGAGGAAAAGGCGCAGCCACGTCCTTGTCCATCATGACAATAGTAGCATGCGCCAGCATCCATTATTAAATCGATGACGACGCTGTACGCGGCCTGTGTATTGCAGTGCTCCAAACATTAGTTTTCCAGCAAGGTTATCCCTGTTCGTTTCAGACACGATCATCGATCCTCCCAACGTTACCCATCCAAAGTTGTGGTTCCTCGTCAATTTTTTCATCTCTCCATTTCCATAGGTGGTACTAAAACATTGACTTTGTAATTTAGCTCAATCTTCTATCCTAAATATGGCTCAGCGGCTCAGTAGTGTGCCACGCTAAGAAGACACTCTTCTTGACACGACTGGTTTGAAGTTGAGAAATGATTGGGAAGCGGGTTGAGGGATTCCATATTCGTGTTATCGGATAAGCTGGTAAAACGCCACCCGTCAATTGGCAGCGGCTGGTGTCTAAACCGACTGGCTAACTGGGCAAAGTCTTGCGGATGGCTGGGTCTTGTCTTGTGAGAGTGGTTTTATTCTATGTCAACACCATATTGTGATTTGCTTGCAGCATCAAACGATAAGCAATGTCGATCCCAGCTGTAATATACCGAATAAAACAGTCAATGGCAATGAAGATCTGTCAACAGCCGATGGATGATCGCTCAGACTGCAGCTTGTTCATTACCGGACTGACCAGGGGAACTGATTGTAAATCATGGATAGCAGCTAGTAGGTAGCAGAAAGACGGCCTCCTAAGTCTTAAGGTATAAAAATAAGTAGTGTAAAAACTATAGCCAAAAGAGCATAAGCTGATCTACTAATTTCGTCTATTATACTTCCAGCGGCCAATTTTTCTGATACCCTGAGGAGCAGTCAGCTAGACTAGTCAGTTAGCCACCTCCTTTTTCATCATGTTAAGCCCCAATTCCCACACCCAAGTATGGAGTCACTTCGATTATTTTAGGCTTTCAATGTTGTCTTTGGCTCGGGCTTATTTCACCTTACTGCCTTCTGTTAGGAACAACTAAATCCACAGTGCTAAGCTACGGAGATAATGCTCAATGATAAAAAATCGTACGTCATTCGTTCGAGTGTTTGAAATGATATCGACAGTTCCCCGTAATCGAAATGCAGCAAATGCATACTGTGCGTGTTATATACATGTAATGGCCAAGACGTTACAACTCTGTTTAGGGGCGACGTGCAAATTCTTACCCTATTCCTGTTTTTAGGAGAAATGGACCTGTCCGCCAAGGAAACCCCTTACAAGCGAGCACCAAAAATAATCATGCCAATACCTAGCACCTACATTTGTATTTCCCGTCTTCCGGCCCGGATTTTGTCATCCCCGATGTCAGCGCTGTTACTTTTAGTCGATTCGACCAGCAATACCTCATATGGGAATCAGCAGTGCTTTTCCGTAACCTCAGTACCAAATCGTCACTGTAAAGAACGTTGTCGCAATTTTTCATCTATATCCAGCACAAGTCCGTAGAGTTTCTGTCGTGAACCTATGCCTCACCTGACTCCATCTCTTGAGTCCGATGTAGTCACGTGTGATAGCGATAGGCACCACATTCCAAGTCCGTGTTGCTCTGCCAACGGTGTGTCTTTACTTTGTTCCATGACTTCGCAGAACAATACATAGAAAACATTATCTGCCAATGTCCGCCGGCATCCAAGCTAAGCCCTTTTATGCCATCGACACTTTTGTTTCCAGGTCACCGCATGCCTACACCTTTATCTTTTAACTGGAAGTGCATGTCGATACGTCCGCGTGCCTTTAACAATTTCAAGAAATACACATACGTTCATCATTTGTCATAATTTAAGCATTGTGTCTCACGACTCCTGCAAACTTACAATGGCGAGACTGGCTGAAGCTCATTCCTCTAGTGATGATGACTTTCCCGACCTCAAGATACTACTCCAGAAACCGAGCACCAGAGCAACGAAGAAGGTGACCAAGCCAACAGGCCCAGCCACCACAGCCCGTACTTCCAAGGGCACTACCAATTCCGAAGCCAGACGTGTGCGACGTCTGGGGGAATCCAAGCAACCAACAGCTAATCCTCTTTTCCAAAAATGGATGTCGAGAGAGAAAGAGAACGCGAGGGGACGAAGAAGTAAGACAACTTCTGAGAAGCCGTCTCGAGAAACAGCCCCAACTGGCAGCTTTTCTTCTGGTTCTAGGAAGAATATGAGCTCGAGCTCTGGCTCTGGCTCAGAAGAAGACAACGTCACGCCACAGTTTCGCCAGCAGCCTAGCAGGGGGAGGAACAGAAGGATTATAGAAGATTCTGACGACAGTGATGATGACAGCGAAAAGAGCTCTGGTTCTGAGAACGAGACAGTGTTGACGAGAGTACGGCGACTTCAAAGCACAAGGACAAGTACAGTGACAGTACCCAATATAAGCGCCAAAACCCAAACCTCAAAATTTAACTTGAATACCAAGTCCAAAGCCCTAGCATTCGCACGGGAGATCGACAGTGAAGCCGACACTGAAGAAGATCATGAAGAGAAAGATGTCGAGGAACCGAGCGTCTATCAAACCGCGGATGAGGCTTCCGATAGTGCCTCTGAACTTCACTGGCTGAACGATTCTCCTGAAGTTCCAACGAGAAAGGGGACAGGGCAGCCCAACAATCCACCATCAAGAGTTACCGGTACAAGTGATCGTGTGTTATCGATTAAGAACGTTCCGACTCTGTTGCCAAAAGCACCTCATGGTGTTGCAGATGCTAGCAACAGCAAAATACGCGGCGTCACCAAGAAGCCTATATCAGGTGGGGAGGTTTCTTCATCTCGGAAGACCAGCCAAAGTAATCAACGAGACACTTCGGGCACCAGCACAGCATCAGATCTTGCAGACACCCTTTCCAAACTACGACTTGAACTCGAAGATTTTTCAGATGAAGATAGTAAAGTGTCCAGCAAGGACCAGTTCACCACCCCTCCTAGTACTCCCCCAAGAGCTGCCAACCCCAATGGTCTTGTCTCTCCAAGCAAAAAGATCGTCATACCTAGGACACCTCATCATCCAAGTACGGACGATTTTTGGAACCAAGATCTGGTCAATGATTGGAATGACCAGCACTCGCCACGCAAGCTTATGCTCCCTCCTGCCACAAAGAGCCCTAAGAAGGCGAGCCCTAAGAAGGACCCCAAAAAGGAGGCCAAGAAATCCTTCGCCGCTAGAAAACACGCGCTAGCTGAGAGTTTCTTGCTCGAGCTGGACTGTAAGATCACTCAAGGTAGAATTGCCGAGCTTGCTGGGTCCACGGGTGGTGTAAAGCTTGTGTGGACGAAGACACTCAACACCACAGCTGGCCGAGCAGGCTGGCGGCGCGAGACTATTCGAACCACACGGAAGGCTGACGGCGAGCAAATATCTGTGACGTATAAGCATCACGCCTCGATTGAACTCGCTGAAAAGGTCATTGATGATGAGCATCGTCTTCTCAATGTGATGGCCCACGAATTCTGCCACCTTGCCAACTTCATGGTCAGTGGTATTACAACAAATCCTCACGGTCGTGAGTTCAAAGTTTGGGCGGCAAAGTGTTCGGCCGTATTTGGTGACCGTGGTATCGAGGTGACAACGAAGCACAGCTACGATATCGACTTCAAGTACGTGTGGGAATGTGACGAGTGCGCAACTGAGTTCAAAAGGCACTCCAAAAGCATTGACCCGAAACGACACCGATGCGGTAGCTGCAAAGGATTGCTGAAACAGACGAGACCGACTCCCAGAGGAGCGGCAGCAGGGAAAGTCCCGAGCCGATACCAGGCGTTCGTCAAGGAGCAGATGGCTGTTGTTAGAGGGGAGAACCCCGGTTGTCCGCAAAAGGTTGTGATGAAGCTTATTGCGGAGAAATGGGCGAAGCAGGAAGGTAAATCTGGAGGCCAAGGTCCCAGCAAATCGGGAGTTGAAAGCATTGCTGAAACGCTGGTTGATCTGACGATTGAGGGTGAAGCATAGATAAGCGCATGTTAGATTGATACCCATACGCACAGTATTCTACATGATATAACGGCACAGGCGGCCATTAACAAATTCTCTGCGACTTGTAGTAGCATATCGCATCTGGCTCTTTATGGCATAACTGGTTTTTGTCTTACTATATACTTCCTGATCAAATCTTCTTCCCAAAACGAACGTTCTTTCCGCTATGGGCTACCCTGTATCATGACAAGTAACCAATGTTGTATGGTAACAAATGTTTTATTTTAGGCGAGCATATGTCTTCATCGTCTTTGATCTGGAAGACGATGGTCAGGTATAGTTGGACAAATTTAGTTCAATAAATCCCATGTTGGAACTAAAACAGCCCAGGACGCCAACACAGGTAGTATGAGAAATCATACCTTAGTAGTCAAAATCGCGGTCATGTGCGAGTCATGATATCGTGGCTTCTCCATTATCTATACAATCGTTGTATTCGTTCACTTATCAATCCAGAAAGAAAATATCATCAATCGTGGTAGTCATCCCAGAATATCCTAGTTCCTCTGGCTTTATATACTGCCTCGACAAGAATGCGCACTCACTTGGTCACATTCCCTCGCATTTAGGCACCAAAGAGGCCCCAGTCCTTGATCTTGAAAGTCTCCCAAATTTTGGCCGAGTACTCGACGGCATCACCAATTAGCTTACCCTGGCGTCCCAGCTCAAGGTCAACTTCCGACTCGTCGTATTCTCCCTTAATGTGCGGCACGTTAATGGTGATAAGAATGTCCGTCTTCTCCTTCTCTAATCGTAATAGCGTCAAGATGATAGCAGTGAAGTCGGGCGCAGAGGTTGTGTCGCGGGACTTGCTAACGTGAGGGGTCTGTGTGGAAATGAGCGTGTAGGCGGGTGTGCCACTGGACAAAGTCAGTTATCTTTCTTTCTTCTGAGTAATCCAATGGGCGTACTTTAATCTGGTAAACTCGGTCTCGGCAGTGTTCCAGATCTTGACGGTATCAATGTCTGATCCAACCATATCTTCGAGATGGGTCGTCATAGCACGGCCGTCAACCTCGGGGCCTGAGCCAGAGCCTCCGACACGCTCGGTAATATCAAATATGATGCTGGTGAAACCATCTTGGTCGATCCAAACTTCCTGGTTATCAGGCACTTGTCGCAACTTGCTGCAAATGCAGAGAATCAGCACAAGAACAAGCTCTAGGCGCAAAGAAGATTCACTACGAACCTGACATCGGCGAACTTAGCGGGCAGATCGCAAGTGATTGCACCGCCGTAGAGAGGTGTGCTGACGAATTCGGGCATTTCGATAAAGCGAGAACGGTTGTCGGAGGGTTTGTCGCAAACTTGATGGGGATGGGTGATCTTGAAATGTGTGGGCAGCTGGGTTTTGAATCAGGTGTCAATAGCAAAGTATCTTGTTGGGTTCGTAAGCAGGATCAACTTTGATGCAAACCGTGGCTCGCACGTATTAAACCAGCAAATCTTGGCAATGAGTGTCACCAGGAAGGAAGAAAGAAAGAAAATGGGCGCCTGAAAGTGGGCGACCAGCGATACCAGGCAGATAGATCATGGGCCCGTATGTATTATTATGCTTGCCTTACAGCAACCCGTTTAGCTTGTATTTGGAGGGGCTGAGGTGACCCCGCTGCGAGAGGGATGACGTAAAAACCAAGACCCAAAAGCTTCACTTCCTTTCCAGTGAAGCTATAGAGAATACCAGCTTTCAGCCTCGTAGAAAGACCTTTGTTAAGCTTAAAAAAATCCAAAAATCCAAAAGGATTACTGGGCGACATGCAATGATGCTCTAGAATTTATCCAAAAGTAAATTATCAAAAATTCGAACCTAGAGATTCTAGATGAATGGTTTCCAAAGATTAGATGAACGGAGTCTGTTGGGCCAATCCCACGGTCACATCTGGTAAAAGGCAAGAGGTGAGTTCGATGGGAGGTCCCACTCCAACAGAAAGCAGTGTAATTTTATGTTATATACCCTTCTCATTAATTAACCATAACCAATCACAACATAGCAGCCCCTCAACAGCTTCAGAGCTACATCTGATTAAACTCAACTTGGTATCGCGATATCTCTCTTGTACTTCTGCGTAATTACTTCTTATCATCGACTCAGAATCTGAACGCACTGCAAGATGTCCAGCTGTATTTTCTGTAAAATCATCAAGGGTAAGAGCTAGAGAGTTTGGCAAGACCATGGCGTGAAAGTGAGGGGGAGAGTATGTTGAGGTTGTTCATTTATTAGCTGTTTTTGTCTTCGTTGTGTCATGAAGATAGCTGACTTTTTATTCAAATAGGTGATATCCCTAGTTTCAAGCTCTTCGAGAGCAGCAAGACTCTCGCCTTCCTTGACATTGGACCTCTCAGCAAAGGCCACGCCGTATGTTTGAAGCTACCAGTGCCATGAGCTAGCTGACCGGATATAGCTTGTCATCCCCAAGTACCACGGAGCAAAGCTTGCCGATATCCCTGATGAAGACCTCGCTGAGGTTCTGGTAAGTTTAAGAACCCGTCATGTTTGATGATCAGGTGTTGACCATGCACGTAGCCTGTTCTCAAGAAAATCGTCAACGCGACTGGTGCCACCGACTACAACATCCTTCAGAACAACGGCCGCATTGCCCACCAAGAAGTTGATCATGTAAGCCCGCTTCGGTCTGTCTCTCAATTATACTGAATCTAACATGAAAATAGGTCCATTTCCACATGGTCAGACCTCCGGTTCTACACCCCGACAGAACTATAGCTAACAAGTGCAGATTCCCAAGCCCAACAAAGAGGAAGGCCTCGGTGTTACCTGGCCCACTAGCCCTGCCGATATGGAACAGCTCAAGGCCTACTGCGAAGAGATCAAGTCAAAGATTTAAATGGTTATATCAAAACTGTGGTGGCCGGTATCCAGTGCAAGTCTTTGTTCTTAAGAAGCCCGTCTAGTATTATTGTCAACGTGACAGGTACCGCCCTGCGCCCACGATTTCAATATGACTGTCTACAACCCACGTTCTTTTTGCGCTTCGTTCGTCTAATCTAAGTCATCGGCAGAAGTACTAGCCGCAGCAGTTGGGGGCTTGAGTGAGTACCAGTCGGTTTTGCCACCGCTCTGGATCGCTCCCTGTCTGTCATACAGCGTTCGCGCTCGGATGTACGGGTCAAGATGCCAGTAGTCCTCTTTTAGTGCTTTGGCAATCTTCTCGCGCTCAGAGTTGATCTGCTTGCCTTGTTCGCCTTCAGGGTGACGAATCCATTCCTGAGTCGCTTGTTCAAACTTCTTGACCAACTTCTCACGCTCGACAAGGAGGCGGTCCCGCGTTTGCGTGTCCTTCATCTTATCGTTCTCGCCAGGGCTGGGCTCCACGTACTTGTACTCCCAATTCTCGTCGCCCTCAAGTTCCTTGATCAAGTGGTTCGGTGCAATGAAGTCTTCAAGCTCGGATCGGTTGTTGGTGAAGTGCACCTTGGCCGCCACAACAGGATCGAGCCAGCCACGAATGACCTTCCAAATGCCTAGTTATCTTGTTAGCCTATGAACATCTGAACAATCCTCGCCACATTACCTTGGAATAACCAAGGAGCCTTATGTACCAGAACGGCGCCGAGAGACTCTGGATAGTTGGCCTCGAAACACTTGATCATGAACTTAACAGGAGTATAATCCATGTTGGCCATTGAGAAGCCCGTCATGTCGAACACGATACACTGCATTTGCGCATTAGAAACTTGCAATTCGGGATTTGTCGGAAGTGACTCACAGCGGTGTCTACAGGAGGCTCGAGTGTCATACGGGCTGTCTCAATGATGTAAACAGTGTACTTCTCCAAACTCTCTTCACACTCTTGACCAGCCTTATGAAGGCGAACTCGAACGACGCAGATAGGCCGACCTTGCTTGTCGGTACCATGTAAAAAACTCTTGCCCATGCGAAGTTGCTTCATCATGTCGGCACTAACTTGCTTGGTCGTGGAGTCGGTCTTCTCATCCTCAACCGCAAAAGCATCGCCGTTCTTCATGATATCGCTATCAACTTTCATGTCGTTGTGTCTCCAGTTCATAGTCGCGACCAACATGACAAGGGCTTTCTCAACATCCCATTTTCGTGCGCGGAGAAAGCGTAGAACCAGGGCATCAGGGTGGTCATGTTTGACCATACTCCATATAGTGTGGCGAATAGTCTCGGGTGTCTCCTTGGCAAGTGTCTCATGGAACTGCTTTGTTTCGTTATACTTGTCCTCATCGGCAGTCTCAGTTGGTGTCGAAGTACCAGATTTACCCTTCTTGAACATGCCAAATCCTCGCTTCTTCTTCTGATCAGCATCGGCCGTGTTTGTCTCTTCCTTGGGCGACAGAATCCCGGCGCCAGAACTCCCCTCGTCGGCAACGCCAGTAAGCTGAAAGACAGCAACCCATAGTTTACGAAGCTTTTCCTCTTGTTCAGGGGTCAGGTTTCCCGGACGTCCAGGAGGCACTTGGAAAGACATAATTGCGATATCTTCTTCAATATCTCCAGATGGTGGCGGATTGTCGGAGCTCCCCGCAGGCCAAGCTGATACAGCGACGACTGCTGCAATGATTGCTGCAGCTATAACAGCAGAGTGAAGTGAATTAGCTTGAAGCGGGGGGTTGCCACTAGGATTGAAGTCAGTGGTGCCTGTGGAGGTTGTGTAGGGCCTTTTGGCGACAACAGCTGGATGTTCGAGAGTCTTAAGACTAGTTGGCTGTATTCTTGGGCTTGTAAGATATCTCGCAGTTACAATACTCCTGGTCAAGACAGGGGTTGCTCGTGACTTGGTAAGAGAAAGCCTCAGTAAGCCGGAAGAAAGGACAGATGACCGCAACTGAATATGGCGTGCCAGTGATTGGGATGAATGGATAGACGGGCTATACGAGCATAAGGTTCGTCCCAATTGAGCCCTCATAGGTGAAGGAATGGGTTGGGGGAAGATACGACAGAATCCAATTGCACGCGCGTAAACATGCGCCGCAAAAATTAAGTCGATGGATGTCGTCGTTTATGGGGATTTTAGAATGCGGGACACCCTTCCTGGCGTCGTACTGAGCTCCACCAATACTCGAGACTTTGCAGGGACGGAGGAGGACAGCAAATCCTTTGAGTGGCCTCGGGGAGATCAAAGCGCATATATAGGCAATTGTTTGAGACAGAATACGAGATAAAGAGGTGCGAGTGTAAATAAGTATGTAGGTTAGTAGTGAAAGGCCAGCCAGTATATTTTTGAGGGCGCGTGCGGGATTGAAAGACATCGGCCCCCGCGGTTCCAGTAAGAGTGGACGGGTCACGTATCAACTGACGTAGGGCAATTGCTAGTGTCCGGAGTACTCGGGAACAAAAGGCTGCAGGCCTATTATAATCAAAATTGTGATGGGTTAGATGCGAAACAAATCGTGTATCTACAGACACTGTTGATTTTTTGTCATATTGTGATTCTGTAAATATCGTAGTCCAAGGATTTCCTCCTCGTCCTCGCAAGATGAATGGCGTGGTAGATGTAGGTTGTTACCCTATAGAGCTGATAGGTAGCGTAGGTAGGCTGTACTATTCGACTGAGGTGATACGATATACTACACTTAGAGGATGTGTCTGTTATAGAGAGTTGTTGTTCAGAGGTTCTATGACTCTTGTATGGATATTTAACCCTGACATCTTGTCGTTAGTCTCATGTGTAGTTCTTCACTAAGTTAGTAACAAGCTTTTATATCCAGGTTATTGTCCACGCGACAGGTTAATCAAATAATCTGAGCCAAAGGCGGAAGATCAGAATATCGTGTTTGCGAATTCACTTGGAATAATTCAAGGAAATACACCGAATAGAGAAATTGTGACACCATTATTTGCAGGGGAATATCTTTTCAATAATAACAAACGATGTGATGAATTATCCCTGTGATACATACTATCAAGGACCATCTAGATATCTCTTACCTGGTAACTGTCCGCTGTCGTGGGAAAGCCACATCCACCAGCAGCCACAGTTCAAGACAATTTACGGGGACGCCACAGGAAATACGTTTGTTGACTTTCCGACAATTCAACTTCAAGGCCGCGACCTGAAAACTGCGAAATTGCGTCAACGCTCTTATCTTTGACAATACACGGAACCATTCGAGCAGATTGAATCGAACATTTGGAAGAACTTAGGACAACACCTCAAGATGTCAACTACACCCAAGGACGCCGCAAAGCGGTCTAATTCCCGTTCTCGAATATCCAGACCTACAACCCCTCTTCGACCCTCGTCACGATCTTCTTTTCGCGACTCTACGCGTGGGGGGCGAGATCATGATGCGCCATTTCCGTTGAACACATTCGAACCCGCCTTTGCCGAGCTTTCTGACGCCATGGCTGATCTCGAAGCGAATATGATGCACTTTCAGCTCATGCACGAGAGTCTGGCGAGATTCAGCGAGTCTTTCGCAAGCTTCCTTTATGGATTAAATATGAATGCTTTCTGTGTCGATTTCCCTGAGGTGTGTCTGCATAGTCTATTCGTTGTACTTCTACAGAAGCTGATACAATTGATAGGGGCCGGTTCCTGAATCCTTCCGTCGAGATAGAACCCGGCAAGAGCAACCAGCCGCAACCCCATCGAAATCCGAGGCCGATGCAGAGATGACATTCATGTAAGAACACCCCGAAAGAATTTTCATCACACCAAGTTCTAACTGGTGGCAGGACCACGGATGGATCATTTGTCGAGAATCCACCAACGACTACCAAGTCATCCAAGTTCACCACGCCAGAGCCTCCAAAACGACAATCACGTCTACCTGCAGCCCCAGGCCGAGGAACAACGACGCGAGGTAGATCAGCACGGGGAGTCGGGCGAAGCCGGTCCAGTGGGCTTGCCAGGGCGCGCAGTCGAGGTGTGAGATGAATATGGTATGGTAATCAACATAAATAAACCGAAACGCCATTTGTGATGCCGTGAAAACCAA